AAATATTAATTATTCTTTCTTTTCTTTTAACAATAGGAAAAAAATTAATATTGGACGAATTTGGGATATGATTTTCGTAAAATTAATTTAAAAATTATAACAAAATTCGAAGATAAACTATCTTTCGATAAACATCAAAGATTCTTTACAGAATGTCAAAAGCTGCATCGATTATTACACGTAAAGAAAAAAAAAGCCATTCCGTTTAATAAAAATTTATTCGCCCTTCAACCTTTGAGATTTAATTAAATCGATTAATTCTTTTGATTTTAACGCTAATTTGCCAAATTTATCATTCTTCCCTAACTCAGTCCTTCGACTGCTATCCCTTCTTCGTTATGGAAGAATAAAGCTGGCGGTTTAACGCGATATCAGAGCTAGAATAAGCGAGTTAAAAGTTGAAAATGGAATTTTGATCGGATGCGAATTGTGTCGACAGGTGAACAGAGAATCGGAAGAGATAGACGTGAATGAACTCGTAGCGAACCAGAGAAGAGAAGTAAGACGTGGTAGCCAACAACGATCATCGAGGAAATGCGCGCTCTGCCGTTTCTTGAAGTCGCTCTGCGCCTCCCATCATTTCAAAAACTTACAGGTAAACGACGACTCTTCTTTTTCATCTTTCCTTCTCGTATTCCAATTCACTTCTTGTCTAATCCTTGTTACCGGTGTAAAATAAAGAGAGAGTAGATTTGAGCAAGATTTGAGAAGAGGTATGAGTTATTGTAGCGTATGAATATAAATGGAATAGCAGTTATGTGATTGGTAGAAGAAGAAGAAGAAGAAGAAGAAGATACATTTTCAATTTTCTATTTGAATAATTTTGAATAATCGAATTAAATAATAAATTGACGATAGTCGATTTTAGAAAAATCTTTCCACGAGGAAGATAGTGAAAATTATATTTTATCTGATTAATCGAATATTGAACGTGAGGTTCAAATTTGTAAATTTTTTAACTATTAAAAAATTCTTTAATCGACGATTATGAAAAATCTTTCCACGAAAACGATAATGAAAATTACACATTTTATCTTAAGTAAAGGGAGTATTTGACTACTGAAGTGATATTAAAGATAAGAATTAAACCTGTCCTACTATAATAAAAAAAAAGAATTCTTCGTTACATTTTCAATAAAAACAAATCGAAATAATTCTATCGACGATTACCAAAAATCTTTCCACGAAAAAGTTGTAATGAAAATTACGTTTCATCTTGAGCATTTGATTACTCAAGAATTGAACGTAAGAATTAAATCTGTACTATTAAAAATTCCTCTAAAAATAATTTTATTACCAAAATTTTTCCACAAAAAAGTTGTAATGAAAATTACGTTTCATCTTGAACATCTGATTACTCAAGAATTGAACGTAAGAATTAAATCTGTACTATTAAAAATTCCCCTAAAAATAATTTTATTACCAAAAATCTTTCCACGAAAAAAACAATGAAAATCACATTTTATATTAAGCAAAAAAAATAATAATCTGGATATTAAACGTAAGGATAAAACTTGTCCTATAATAACAAAAAAAAAAAAGAATTCTTCGTTACAAAAATAATATTTTTCAATAAAAACAATGATCACCGAAACAATCTGTAGAACAACGAAAAAAACTTTTAACGAAAAACGTTCACCCGTGAAAGAGGAAGCATGGTAGCGTAACGTACAAGAACAATCCGAAAACTAATTAACAAAAGTGAGATACGCTCGAAACTACTAGCGAATTACTACTCCGGCGAAACGCTGTTACGCGGAAAATAAGCGAAAAACTTTGCAACAAAACCCGGGCGGAAAATATCTCGGAAAATTCGTTCTCGTAATAACGATGATGATTTAATGGCGGTTGGGAAAATATTCGAAACGGAACATTTGAAACGAGGATGTGGCATAATAATTTGGGCTGTTTGGTTGGGCGGGGAGAGTCGCGCAACAAGTTCGCGTCGCGCGGATATCCGGAAGAGCGTGGAGAGTTTTATGGAAACCAGTGCTCGTTTCTCCTGTCTGTAAACAGACGAATTCGTGATTCGAATTAAACCGCGAAAATTTTGTATTTCCGTTCGACAAGGAAGAAAGGAATTCGTTGTCAAACAAAGAAATACAAAGTTTTGAAAGTTATAATACAAATAGAAAGTTATGGTAAATAATTCTTGGAAAATTATTCAATATTGTATTTGATTGATTGTTAGTTTTGAAAAAACTAGTATTGATATCGATATTTCATCTCGTAATCGATAAGAGATCTATAAAAGATTTTTATTTCCATCGTTTCGAATTAAACCGCGAAAAAATTTGTATTTCCGTTCGACAAGGAAGAAAGGAATTCGTTCTCGTTGAAAAATTATTCTTATTGTATTTGATTGATTGTTAGTTTTGGAAAAATATTTTGCTATCGATACTTCATCCTCTGATTGATAAGAGATCGATAAAAGAATTGATTTCCATCGTTTCGAATTAAACCGCGAAAAAAATTTGTATTTCCGTTCGACAAGGAAGAGAAACGAATTCGTTTTCATTGGAAAATTATTCACATTGTATTTGATTTATTAATTTTGGAAAATTAATCGATATCGATACCAATCACCTCGTAATCGATAAGAAATCGACGTAAGAATTTGATTTCCATCGTTTCGAATTAAACCGCGAAAAAATTTGTATTCCGTTCGACAAGGAAGAGAAACGAATTCGTTCTGGTTGGAAAATTATTGCCATCGTTACTCGTTCCAAATCATTTCGTAACTGACAAGAAATCGATATTAGAATTTTCATTTCCATCGATTCGAATCTGCAGAATTAAATCGCCAAAAAAATTTGTATTTCCGTTTGACAGTGAAGAATCGAATTCATTCTCGCTGAGAAATTATTCGTATCGACACTCGTTCCAAATCATTTTATAATTGACGAGAAATCGATACTGGAATTTGATTTAATAATTATTTTTAGAAAGATATCGGCATCGATTTTAAAAATAATAATTTCAAATTATTTCGTAATTACGAAATTACGTGAAACATAAATATTTCAGACGATCGATATTAGAATAATCGATGATGTTTATACATCGATTTATCTATCAACAATGAAAGAATGAAAAAAAAACTATTATTCACTAAAGCATCAATATTAATTCCTAATCCCTTTTTTTTTTAAATTCTCAAAGATAAAACAATCGATATTAAAATAATCGATCAGCATCAG